GGGGCTGTCAAAATTCATTACAGGATGTCGAAAATCTAAAAAAAGGTTTTTTCTTAATAATTAATTTTTTTTTTGAATTTTTTTTTTTTGGAAATCCATTATTTTCTTGAGAGTTCTGTTTGCCCCCAAAGAGTTCTATCGATTGTTCTATATGGATTAAAGTTCTAAAATAAATGGTAAACAAGTTATAGCCCTTCAAAGTTTCGGAATCGTGAAGTTGGCCCCCCCGATATTTCAAATGGTGTTTTCACCCCTTTAATCGACGGAACTATTTCTAAAATTGACAGGGAACTCTAGAACTCTTGGGGGGGGGGGCAACCAGAACTTTACTTATTTTTTCATTTTTTGGAAAAAGTGGGGCCAGCTTCACAGAGGTAAGAAATGAAGCTAAGAAGAGTATTACAAATTATATTGATTGTTAATTTAATAATGATGTTAATAAGGCCATGTGGTACCATCTTTATCAAGTTAAATTCTACCAAATTAAAATGTAAAATCCAAGTGGTATTATTATTTTTGTTATTTACTTATCTTTAATGATATGTATCATGTGTATAAAAGATTTGATATCAACAACAGGTGCCAAGTTAAATTTTATCTATCAAATTAAAAAATAAAACACAAATGGTACTGTTTCTTGTTATTTATATAAACTTAGCTTTTAAAAAAAAGGTAAAAAAAACACTAAGCGTGCGTGCTTTTCGTACAAATTATTTGGGCCGGTTTCACCAACGCCAATTACTTAATTCGCCGTGGAACTAATTAATCGCGTTTGCTGTTTAGTGGAAATGACTACTTATGGTTGACACTTATGGTTAATCACTGATTCGGCTTAATCGAATTGGTGAAACCGGTCTTTTGTACATAATATTAAAAAGTAAAACACAAATGGTATTGTTTATTGTTATATTAAAATGTTAAACCCATGTGGTACCATCTTTATCAAGTTAAATTCTACCAAATTAAAAAGTAAAATCCAAGTAGTATTATTATTTTCGTTATTTACTTATCTCTAATGATATGTATCATATATGTGTATAAAAGATCAAATTAAAAAGTAAAACACAAATGGTATTGTTTCTTGTTATTTATACAAACTTACCTTTTCAAAAAAAGGTAAAAAAAGCGCTAAGCGTGCGTGCTTTTCGTAAAAATTATTTTGGCCGGTTTCACCAACACCAATTACTTAATTCGCCGTGGAACTGACTAATCGCGGTTGCTGTTTAGTGGAATCGACCACTTATGGTTGACACTTATGGTTGATTCGGATTAGTGAAACCGTTTCTTTGTATATAATATTACTTAACTCTAATGATATGTATTATTCATGTAAAAGATTTGATATCAACAAAATTAGCGTCAAATTAAATTCCTCAAAATTTTATGTATCGATCGTAAAAAAGATTTGATGTCAACAATTGGCGCCAAGTTAAATTTCATGTCATTCGGATACCAAATTAAATAAATAATATTGAATTGGTTAAGAAGTTACAAAATGTTAAAATTGACGTTGGATACAGTTTGATATCATTGGATGTGATTTCCTTGTTCACTAACGTTCCAACGGAATTGGTTATTGAGACTTTCAAAAAAATGGATTTTAATATGTGAAAAATGTAACCTTCCTAAGGATGAATTTTTGAAGGCGGTTCGAATGGTGCTGGAATCTACTTATTTTGCTTTCGACAATCAATTTTACAAACAGACATTTGGAACTCCGATGGGTTCACCGTTGTCTCCTATTGTAGCCAATTTGGTTATGGCGGAATTGGAGAGTCGTGTGTTGGGGGAAATTCACTTTCGGGTGCCATTTTACTATAGATATGTTGATGACGTTGTACTTTGTATTCCTAACGAAGAAGTGGATACTATTCTTGAGAAATTTAATGCATTCCATCCTAGATTACAATTCACTTTGGAAGTGGGAGGCAACTCGATAAATTTTTTGGATACGACCATCATACTAAGGAATGGGTCATTAATTTTTGATTGGTACCAAAAGCCTACATTTTCGGGTAGGTGTTTGAATTTTCTGTCTCAGCACCCGATTTCTCAAAAGAAGGGTATAATTTTTAATCTTGTAGACAAAGTTTTTTATCTTTCGCATCCAGAATTTCATAAAAAGAATCTTGATTTTATTGTTAAATTACTTATGGATAATGACTATCCTTTAGATTTTGTATTGAAGACTATGAATATAAGAATAAAAAAGATAATAAATAATTTTAATGTCACAAATAATAAAAAATCTAATATTGATGTAATAAAAGGGAAAATAAAATGGTTTTCCATTCCGTACATCGAAGGTATCTCGAATAAATTTAAAAACTTCATTAATGGTATGGTTCATAAAGTTTCGTTTTTTAGTGTGAACAAATTAAATAAATTTATTCGAGTGCATAAAGATTCTTTACCAATCAAATAAAAAAAAAATGTAATTTATAGGATCAATTGTTGCGACTACGATGCTTCTTATGTCGGCCAGACGGGTAGAAAACTAAAAACTAGGATCTCGGAGCATAAGAAGCATATTAACAGCACAACGTCGTCAAAATCGGTTATTACAGACCATAGGTTGCAGTGCGAACATGATTTCGATTGGGAGAACATTGAGGTTCTGGATACTGAGGGATTCTATAATAAGCGTCTAGTGTCAGAAATGATACATATAAAAAGACAAAAAAATGGGCTAAATTTGCAAAACGATACCGTAGCTTTAAATCAGGTTTACATGGAATTAATTGACAAACTATAAGATGTGCCTTTCATATGAGTGAGACTTGTTGTTCTCATCTATATGCTTTTGAATCGTTAACCGCAATGTTTTGAAATTCTTTTATTATTTGACCGAACTCAGTACTGACTAAAACTCATGAATCTTATCGTACGTAGAGTCCTATATAATACTACTAATTATAGCAGTAATGGATTAAAATCATTTAGACAGCCAATCAAACAATACACACCCTTCAATGTCGCATCTCTGGTTTCTAGGACTCTATTCAAACCAAACATCAACTGGAATGTGCAGGCATCTAATAGAGTCCCTATAATAATAGTCAAGACATGAGAGACGACGCCCTCGTGATTGGTCGCCGCCATTTCTAGGCGCTTTCGATGTGTTAGTAAATCTGTAAATTGGTGTAAGCAATTATTTCATGGTGTAGTAGTACCAAAGACCAAAGACAGAGAATGGACTGCGCGTATCTAAAGTATCTAAAGTAGTGTATCAAATGTGGTCGACAATAATGAGAAAGAGAGAGCCCGTGGGAGACGGCCAATCTCCCTCTTATTCTCTCTCCCATTACACCATTGAATGGAAAGAGATAAAAATGGCCGTCTGCCACTGTCCCTCTCTCTCATCCCTATCGACCATTTTGACACACGGATCGCGCAGTCCATTCTCTATTTCTTTGAGTAGTACAAATAGGCGCGAACGTGTCTATTTGTGCCACGCGTTACCTGGGGTCGATTCTGGGTACCTATCATGAAATATGTCGGAATGGATTCCGATCGGAATTATTTCGTTTTCCCTAGAAAACACAATAGAAATCTAGGGAATAATTGAATATTTCCGATCGGAATCGATTCCGACTTGTTCTATGATAGGTATCTTCCCTGTATCTTCAATCAAGGTGAAAATTACAAAAGTGAGCAAATTTACTAGGTATTGGCCAGTGAAATTATCAGTATTCTAGTAAATTCACTCACTTTTGTAATTTTCACCTCGTTTCAAGATACAGAATCGATCCCCTGTGCTGTTTCCGGCCGGCGCCCAGTAATGGCGTCCTTCCGGTCTTATGTCTTGACTCTTATTATAGGGCCTCTAGCATCTAAACGCCTCTACCGCCATCTAGTGCCAGACGGTGCAGTCGCACATTTTTTTTGGTTGATAACGACGTATCAGTAGGTATAGTAGGCCGGTTCTAAGCCGGGTCCTCTGAGGGGGGTGCGGGGCGCGGGGGAA